GGGCATGAATTATGTTGCACTTTGTTTTAAAGAACATATAGAAGTAACCACTGTTGCCCACAAAAAATAGTATTTATCGTTAAAATAAATATATATCTATATATAATATAAGAGAAAAAAATTGTCATGTGTGTGCGAGCGCTAAACGTATCATGTGTCAACACCATAAATTTTTTCAATTTTCTGAACAATCAAAATTAATTATTTGTAATTATTATAAAATAATAGATTGCAATTATAAAAGCATATTTTAATTTTGTTAAATTACCATGAAAGTAGTTTTAAAAATTATCCATTTATATTTAAAGCAGTTTTAACCGCACGTTTTTACACTATACACAACAAAATGCTCCTTATTTACAGCAATTAAAATAATATAAATTTTAATCTCCTTTTTCTCTTTATTTTATTAATATTATACTTCTCCAAAATCAAAAATCAACATCAAATTTTCTAATTTTTTGTATAACTAAATTAATTATTTGTAATTATATTATATAAATAAATAAATAAATTACAATCGAAAAAACAAAACAGTTATTTTGAAACTGTTTTAAAATTAACGTGGAAACGGTTTTAAAATTTATCTATTTATAATTTAAAACATTTTAAAACAAATTTTCCTTATTTGTAGCAACTAAATACAAGTTCTTATTTCCTTTTTCACTCTATTTTTAAATATTTAAATATTGTACTTATCCAAATCTATATCCTAAATAATTGAAGTTTTTGAATTTTATTGATAACGGGTCCACAAATTTAAAATTTGATCATTATCTTAATTGTTCATTTTAAGTGTTCGCTTTGTGTTTGCTTCATGATTTATTTATCTCTTTTATGTTTGTTTTCTATTTTATTCATCTGTTTTATGTTTGATTCTTTTAGTGTCTTTATGCCAAAGGATTCAGAAAGAAACAATTATTCAGATGAATGAGTTTGTAAGTTAGTTCAAAATTGAATGGAACGAATCCTAATTTTCCTTTACTTCTTCTCAAATTTTTCATTTATATGCCTAATTATAAATTGTGGTGATTATAAGTGGTTAATTAATGATAGAAAATTCATTGAATTTTTGGACTGCCAATTTTATGGCCGTGAAATATATTTCTTCCTTTTAGTTTTGATTTACACAAACTTTTTATGAACAATATTTTTGAGGTATCCAGAGAGTTGCTTATACGCATCTATAGATTTAGTTTTGTTCTTTTATTGTTAGTTTTTTATTTTTCTTATATTTCAAAGTTCATATGCAAGAAACTTTACCACATTAAAATGCAAAGAAATTGTTATTCTATTGGTAATGGAACTTTTTTTCTAATTTGTTCCAAAAACTTTTTCGATATTGTAATTCTATTAAATAAATAAATAAATAAATAAATAAATAAATTACAATTTAAAAAACAAAACAGTTATTTTGAAACTGTTTTAATATTAACGTGGAAACAGTTTTAAAATTTATCTATTTATAATTTAAAACATTTTAAAACAAATTTTCCTTATTTGTAGCAACTAAATACAAGTTCTTATTTCCTTTTTCACTCTATTTTTAAATTTTTAAATATTGTATTTATCCAAATCGACATCCTAAATAATTGAAGTTTTTGAATTTTATTGATAACGGTTTCACAAATTTAAAATTTGATCATTATCTTAATTGTTCATTTTAAGTGTTCGCTTTGTGTTTGCTTCATGATTTATTTATCTCTTTTATGTTTGTTTTCTATTTTATTCATCTGTTTTATGTTTGATTCTTTTAGTGTCTTTATGCCAAAGGATTCAGAAAGAAACAATTATTCAGATGAATGAGTTTGTAAGTTAGTTCAAAATTGAATGGAACGAATCCTAATTTTCCTTTACTTCTTCTCAAATTTTTCATTTATATGCCTAATTATAAATTGTGGTGATTATAAGTGGTTAATTAATGATAGAAAATTCATTGAATTTTTGGACTGCCAATCTTATGGTCATGAAATATATTTCTTCCTTTTAGTTTTGATTTACACAAACTTTTTATGAACAATATTTTTGAGGTATCCAGAGAGTTGCTTATACGCATCTATAGATTTAGTTTTGTTCTTTTATTGTTAGTTTTTTATTTTTCTTATATTTCAAAGTTCATATGCAAGAAACTTTACCACATTAAAATGCAAAGAAATTGTTATTCTATTGGTAATGAAACTTTTTTTCTAATTTGTCAGAAAGATTTTTCGATAAAAATATCTTTTACTATTCATTCATAATTGTGATATAAACATATGTGACGTTGTTGCCGACAAAAATACACTTATCTACTATTCCAATTTATGTTATGCTTATTTTTTGAGCTTTTACTCTTGAACAACTTCTTTTAGTCCTTAATAGTGTATCATAGTAGGCAACACATAAGACATGTATAATGAGTGTTTGTTGCATTGTATTTTGATTAGAGGCTCAATTGCTCTTTCTATTTCTTATTATGACAAACATGTTTAAACGAGTTATACATTTGTATTGGTTACCGTATTTAAATAATCAAATATGTTATCTTTCAATTATTATTTTCTTATAAAATCAATCTGAAATACTCATTTGGGTATGCCCCATCTTTTTTGTCATATCTATCATAAATGTGTCAATATATTTTCTCAATGAAAAAAATACTTCAACAATTATTCATCAAATATTGGAATTACAACCTTTTTTGTCCTTTTGAATTTGATTAAATTGTCTGTATGCGTACTTATATTAAATAATAGAGGACTCGGATAGAATTTATTAAATCTTGAAAATAGTGTAAAATAATATCTGCAGTTCTCTAAGAAATATCTATTGTATTGTATTTTAATGGAATGCTATATTTGAATTCTGTGAAGTCTCTCTACGAAATCTCAAAATATGAAGTCTTTTAGTTTGTTTTGTAAGATTTTCTATTGTAGTGTTGTTCATTATGAGATACATTCACTCATTTTTTGAGATTTTTTTTTATTGTTATTTATGTGTAGATGAGAGAACTCGTTAATTTCCGCGCAACGCGCGGGTACGTATACTAATTTATCAAAATCATGTAATTATGGACCCAAATATGTTGATATAGAGTTTTTTTTTTCCAAAGTAAAATTCCCTAATATTTCAAAGTGTAAAAAAAAGTATATCAATATTTAGTTAAATTACTTCATAAAAAATCAAACAAAAGAAGTATATTTTTGGTTAAATTATACCACATAATTTAAAAGAAAGAAGTTTTTTTTTGCTCTTTCTTCCGATAACGTTATTTTAAGAATAAAAAATAATTCGGTATTTTTCAATAAGAAAAACTTCTTATTGGTCTTGCCAAAGTATCGAAAGTTCAGTAAAAAAACTTTTGTTTTAAAAAAAATATTTACTTGCAAAGAAAAACATGTTATGATTTCTTACCCTTTTATGTTGATAAATTGTGTGTCGAATATACACTCGAATAATTAAATATTGGTGAATTGTATTTACACCTCACAAAGATAAAATTTTATTTGAGTACTTACGTCGAGTTAATAAGTATATTCCTGATTTAAATTAATTTGATGTTTTTTTTAATAAATTATTTATTAGGATTTTATTTTTTAAAAATTAATTATACTTTAAAAATATAAATATGACTATTAATAATCTTATATAGTTATTTAATGATATGTATAATATTAAAAAATAATATTTTTTGAATATAAAAGCTAAATAATAAATTTTCATTAAATTATTTAACTATATTAATTTTAAACAATTTAATATGTAGATAATAAAAATGGAAATATATAGAAAAACTAGTAAAGTATCATTGCATACATGCCATTGTAAAATTAAATGGACCCTACTATACTCAATATACGAAATGATAGAAGGTATAATTTGTAATTTAGTAAAAAAATGTAGATTTTTTTCTAAAGATGTTAGAAGGCCCAAACAATAAAATTGATAGTACAATTTTTTTATGCATGTTGAACTTGCAATATCTTTGAAGGATCATAATACCCCTTATCTTTTTACTTAATATCTAGAAACATACATGTTGAAAGTGTTTCTTCTACTATATAGGAAAAACTTCTTATTGATCTTGCAAAAGTATTGAAAGTTCAGTAAAAAAAACTTCTGTTTTTTAAAAAATATTTACTTGCAAAGAAAAACATGTTATGATTTCTTACCCTTTTATGTTGATAAATTGTGTGTAGAATATACACTCGAATAATTAAATATTGGTGAATTGTATTTACACCTCACAAAGATAAAATTTTATTTGAGTACTTACATTGAGTTAATAAATATATTCCTGATTTAAATTAATTTGATTTTTTTAATAAATTATTTAGGAGTTTATTTTTTTAATTATACTTTAAAAATATAAATATGAGAACAATTTAATATGACTATTAATAATCTTATATAGTTATTTAATGATATATATAATATTAAAAAATAAATTATTTTGAATATAAAAGCTAAATAATAAATTTTCATTAAATTATTTAACTATATTAATTTTAAACAATTTAATATGACTATTAATAATCTTATATAGTTATTTAATGATATATATAATATTAAAAAATAAATTATTTTGAATATAAAAGCTAAATAATAAATTTTCATTAAATTATTTAACTATATTAATTTTAAACAATTTAATATGTAGATAATAAAAATGAAAATATATAAAAAAACTCAGTAAAGTATCATTGCATACGTGTCATTGTAAAATTAAATGGACCCTACTATACTCAATATACTCAATGATAGAAGATATAATTTGTAATTTAGTAGAAAAATGTAGATTTTTTTCTAAAGATGTTAGAAGACCCAAACAATAAAGCTGATAGTACAATATTTTTTATGCATGTTGAACTTGCAATGTCTTTGAAGGACCATAATACTCCTTATCTTTTTACATAATGTCTAGAAACAGACATGTTGAAAGTGTCTCTTCTACTATATAGAAATAAAAAGGTTACATTTGATTTTGAAGCTAGGAATATATAACTCATTTTTTAATTATTTATTAGTTCAATAAAGGGAAGGAAGAGTGGATAAGCTCATCTGTTTCTCTCTACTAAAAAAAAATGGAAGCTCTTGGTCATGGGCTCCTACCCCTCGGTGCCGTTAGGACTTGTCAAAAAGAAGGAAGGTGTCAACTTATCGGTTCAATCCATTTTCTTAGCTCTCCAGTCCCATCTTCTCTAAAATCGTTAAAGGTTTGTCTATCGCTTTATTTGTTCATTAGTACCATGTATTGACAACTGTGAAATGGGGTTTTGTTTGCTTCAGTATAAGAATAACATAAGGATGCAAGCAGTGCAAGAAGAATATGAGTTGAAGCAAATGAAAGATATGGCTGCGGCTAAAAAGAGATGGGATGCTCTGGTATTTTTCTCTCACTAGTGTTCAATTTTTTTTTGATAGTCAAAAAATTGTGTTTGATTTATCTGGAATAGTCTTAAATGACTTCAATTTTACATTTTGGTGAATACAATTTCGTTAACCCAGGGCTTGAGCAGACCACCCATCTAAAGACTTCCATTTTTCAACATTCCATCTCATACATTAGTGCGTGGACAAATTTAATTTTTTTGCTTTAGTCTTTCAAAATTTTCAAGGGTGTTACATTGGAAATTCCTAAAAGAATTTAGCACTGTAAACTTTTTATACAATTAAATCAATTGTGTATATTAAAATTTAGAACAAGTAGTATTATATACTTTGAACCTATAATTTTTCAAATTTAACGATTCAGTCTTAAGAACCTAAATGTTAAACCGATCAAATTTATATATTAAATGCATCTTTTCATAATAGTGCACCCATCCTTCCGAAATTCTTGATACACCTCTGCCGACATCCCTAAGGTTATGTGTCCCAGTAGAAAAGAAAAAATAGAAACTCTAAATATATCTTACTTTTTGAACTTCCCATGGTTCAGATTATAGTTTGTGGTTGTTCATGTCTATGAGTAATTAACTAGCTCTAGGAATAGCATAATAAATGCCCTTCTTTGGATTCAGGTGATCCTGTTTACACACATACATTGTGTGCGCATATGTTGTCATTCTCTGAACCTTCGCCTGGATGGAACTGGCACTCGGTACCTTAACTTGCTCGAGCGAACTAGCTCTACATGACATTCACTTGAGACATGTGGAATGAATGAAATATATTCATAATATACATTCTTCAAAGAAGAATACATCCATAAAATATTGTCTTTAACCATGCAAACTAAAGTCCGGTATTTAAGTGGAGAAGGGTAGATGGGCCGGCCCATTATCCACCGAGTTTAGAAGGTTGTGATTGGTCCAAAGGGCGGGGTCACAGGCAAATTTCTCGATTATCAAAAATAAAATAAAATATTATCTTTAAACCCTTCGGGGTGGCCCAGTGGTTTGGGGTTGGGACTTCCATGTTGGAGGTCTCAAGTTCGAAATCCCTTGCCAGCGAAAGCAAGGGGTTTGCCTTCTGGGTCGAGCTCGTCGCACCAGGCTTGCCTAGTGCGGGTTACCTCTTCTACGTGGTTTGCGAGCTATTGCATAGGAGCGGGGGTTTTACCCTGTGCGCACCCAAAGGGTAGCGGCTGCGGGTTTCCCTTGTCATACAAAAATAAAATAAAATATTATCTTTAAATTCAAATCTTTAAAACATAAGAATTCAATAAGTTGGAGTATTTGGCAAAGTTTGCATAATAGAACATCAAGATTCTTCTATCTATGAAGTTTCTAAACATGACATAAATATCAACATTTATTTGGACAAGATCTCGACATATCCGTAAGCTAACAAAGCTGACATAAATAAAGACCACACTTTAAGAGCAAGTGGGGCTCACCAAAAGCTAAATGTGCGGCACCTAGTGTGTAGCCTTGTCGTTCTGTATCAAACTGCATTGTGAAATGCAACACCCCCGACAAATGGGGCGCAAGTACATGGAGTAGTACTTGCATGTAATACGACATAGAATGAAACATAAAGTATACATGAAATGAAAGGAAAACCAAAGTAATGGAATAAGACATATGAAAGAGTTAAGTGACTCAATCATTAGGTTGATCTGACTGTTTGCATTATTAATCACACGGTATTCTTTTATGAGAGTTTCTTAAATAATTACATATCCACATATGATTAATCATAAGGTACTATTTCTTAAATAATTGACATATCCACTTATGAGCACATCAAGTCCAATCTTGGTCCCATTGGTTAGGCCATCCCATCACCTTGCGGGGGTGATGAAACATACATAACATATGCTAGCATTTGAATCCATACCATAATTCTCAAGGATGTAACCTAGAGGAATCGACGAATTAACGGTACAAGTTACAACCCATATCATACGTTGACATCCGTAGTTTCGGGCATTTGTCATTAGGACTCACACATTCTTGATTAGCAATACTTCTCCCAAAACATTAACATGATAAGGATTAGCTCAAGGGCTCATAATCATAATTCACGTTTCATCGTCATGTGCATCATGTCGTAAAATCATATTCTTCATGTCCTTGAAGAAAATCATAAGTTAATATTTGTATAGTCATGGTGAAATAAATGAAATTCATAATATGGCAATGTAACGAGAATATAAGGGATTCCTAAAGAGTTCATGATGTTCATAATAAATTTACATGAACTAAGTGTAACATTTCATAATTTACCCCAACTATCTCATAGAGGACAAATTCATGGGTTTCAAGGAACGCGATGTGGCGAAGAACAATAATTGTCCCTCAAGAGGAGAGTTAGCCCTAGATACCTTAATTGCTCCAAAATAATAAATAAAAATCTGAACTTTGACGAAGAACTCCAAAACTCTACGCTTAGTTTTTTGGAATGCTTTTCTTGGAAACCATGTAATCCTAGAGACTAGAGTAGAATCACGTTATGAATTCGTCCACGTACGTTAGAATAACTTAGAAGTACTTAGAATAGACTTACCTTGATATGGAAAGGAGAGGAGAGGAGTCTTAGGACTCGGGAAACGAAGACTGAAATAAAATTTCAGAAAAACTTGTATTGGATCGTATTTATAGGTTGGGGATTGGGCCTGATAGTTAGCGGGTCGCGAGCTCGATCGCATTGACTTCCTAGCGATGGATGTTGCGTCCCATACTTAAATGACTTTTCTCTCCCCCTTCCCTTTGGTCGCAACACGACCTCCACTTCGTCCAACATGGGCTTGATGGTTGTCACGTTAGGTATCGCGTCAAAATGGGTGATGTGCTGCAACCTCCACTGCGTCCAACATGGACGCGATGCCCCATCTCATCGGATACTTAGAATTATGCGACTTTAGTAAAATATGCGTAACTTCTTGTAGTGAGCTCGGATTTACGAATGGTTTGATGCATTGGAAACTAAACACAACCCATCCAAGTTTAACCTTAACTCCCTAGCACAACCATATTCATCGGGTTAAGATCGAATTACTCATTGCCAATTTGTTAACCCTTAGTCAGGAAGTACGAGGCGTAGAGACTTTTGATGCAAGAGTATATTTAAGTACTTATTCGCTCATATTGAATAGCTTATGTCATTCTCGTTCTCATTTTTGCATGTACTGGTTAAGCTTGAATAATGTCTGACATGCAGCTGTCATTAAATAAAGTTCTGCTGCCCGTAAAAGCATCACATATGAGCACAAAGAATATTAAGCTATCACACATGTTTGATGACTCCATAATTTGTATTACATGAATGATACTTATTGTGTGTCAAAATGTGGAAGTAAGGACTATGAACATGTTATGTTCTCCTAGGAACTTCTGCTCCAATAACTGCCAACCTAGAGTAACTGGATAAGTTACTGCATACGTAGTTGCAACGATGTTTAATTTGGCGTTCTATATACAGAAAGAACAGAGTTTGTTATTGTAATTGAAACATGTTTTCCGAGTTCCATCCTCCTAGGTGATGAGTTATATCACAGTCTCAACTTATTAGAAATCATATGTCCTGTAATCATTTAATTTGTGCTGTACAGGGACATCTTAAACCATCATTATCCTTTATTAAATTCTTCACTGTATTACTATGATAATAACATTTGTGTTTCCCTGTTTATTGTAGATCAGGGAGGGGAAAGTTAAGGTTCTTACTCCAAGGGAAGCTGGTTATGCAATTCAACTCTCGAACAAAATGTTGCTTGATGTTCGTCCCTCTATGGAGCGAAAGAAGGTTGATTCAACTTTCTTTCAAATACCACTTCTCTCTACTATCCACATTTGACGAAATACAAGGCGAATCTAAATGGCTCATCATAATTGCCCCTACAGCTTTCCATCATTTCTCTCTACATGCTTTACACAATCCTCAATTAGTTGTGCTAGTATTTGCTTAACTTTGCATGTCAATGGCTGTTCTTCTTTCAAAACTCCTTGCTATGGTTCAAGTCTGTTGTCTAAGATTATCAAAGTTTGTGATGCGGGAATACCAAGTTTTGTTGAAAAAAGTTCCTCTAAAAACTCTAGGTTCAGGAATTTTGGGATATGAATTAGATTAAAAGCAGAATACTTCCCTTCTTAAACGATTGTGTTATTCGTTATCCTGGTTATCATGATTTTTTAACTGTTTTGCAGGCATGGGCAAAAGGCTCCACCTGGATTCCAATTTTCGATGTTGATACTAGTTTAGAACTTCGTACTCTTTCCTTGAAAGCAACAAATTTTTTGATGGGTAACAAACTTCTCTTATGACACACAAATGATTCATTTTTAGTATACTTAATCTTTATAATTACTTGGTGATACACAGACATATAGCTTGACTTTAGTCCAAAGAGATGCACATCTAGTGATAAGAATCAAATCACTTGAATAAATAAGAAATAACGGGGAAGCTAAACTATGATGATTAAAGACAAGAATTGAAAGATATGTGAAATTCGAGAATAAAATCCCCAAATTTCAAGATAAAGTGCTAAGAACCCTAATGGATCATAGTATTCAAAATTAGCGGATTAAAACTAATTATGATATTAATAGAGTCAATTCAAGAACTTAGATCAAAAGTGATCTTGACCCCTATTTCAAAGAAATACAAGACAACAATAAGTATAAGACTAATTACCTTTTTATTTTGTGATAACTCTCCTTTTTATGAAAGCAGACTGATTTCATATTATTTTAGGAAGGATAAAAGAGAGTTTGTTGTTGAGGATTTTGGATATCACTTTGTTGGAGGTATTACAAAGGCTAACAGAACAGAGATCAGAGAATCTCTGAGGATGGTCAATTTCGGGAATCATTACTAAGCAATTATGGGTAACGGATTTAGGAAGTTAAGAGCCTTGAAAGAAAGCTTCCGCACTCTATGCAGATCAGTGCAAATAATATCCCACAAATTGATAGAAATAGCCACTCAGGCCATCAGGGCCTGGTGCACTATCTTTGTCCTTGTCAGAAATAGCCACTCAGGCCATCAGGGCCTGGTACACTATCTTTGTCCATGTCAAATGCACTATCTCTGATCTCTTGGATTGTAGGGATGGCTGTAAGCATGTTATTGTCATCATCAGTTATGCATTGAGAGGTGCACCATTGCCTTGAACATTTCTCAGTGGATTGTAAGGATGGCTATGAACATTTCATGTAAATATCTCACAACTGCTTCTGCAATGCTTTCATTACCTTCAAGCCTCTGATTTTGCTCATCCATGATCTTGTTAATGGTTAATCTGCTTCTCCTCTCCCTTATAATCACTGTGAAAAATAGTCTGTGTTGGCATCCCCTTCCTCAAACGACTTAGCGCTTGTATTTTTTCTCGTAATATTCTCCTGGATCTTGAGGTACCTTGTAATTCAACTTTGCATTTAATTCTCTCCTATTTCAAGAGAATTGTCACTCACACAATTGTCCTCAAGGGTTCTCATTTCTGCTTCTAGCCTTTTAGGAACCTCATAGATATCACCATAAGTCCGTCTGAACCGACTACTAAGAGTTTTACAAACATTCTTGATCTTTTAGTGTAGGATGTAAAGGGGATTCCCATAAATTTCTTCTTCCCAGGCTTCCTGAACTGTTTTGAGGTAATCTTGATATTCAGTCCTGAAGTTGAAAAACTTGAAATATCTTATGTGAGAGGCCTTATTGCTTATTTTCACAAGCAGCGGGGCGGGCATAATCTGAAGAGCGGCATCATCTGAACATGCTCTGGAGAGATGAGTAACTGACGTGTTTGAATAGAGTCGATCCATGCATTGTTGTTCACAAGTCTATCCAGTCTCTTCCAGATTGTGGTGGGAGGATCTCTGTTGTCACACCATGTATAAGTAGAACCTGTGAATCCTGCATCTAGAAGACCACATTCATTGAGAAACTCTATGAAATCTAGATTCTCCTCTGGTCTATAGCTTCTGCCTACTTTCTTTTCTTCACCGGAGGTTTTAACATTATAATCACCAATAGCACCCCAAGATCCTTGAATGTTGCTGGCCATATTTATAAGATCTTGCCAAAGTTCTCTTCTTTGTTCTTCAGTGCATTTAGCATAAACAATTGTGAGATGTATACGAGAATTATTGTGATAAGTAGCACTTGTCAAGACATGTTGCTTTCTATCCTTATGATACAAATATCAACTTCTGTAGTTCAGAAGAGCCATAATTGTTTGAGCAGCTGAAAAAGCCCTGGTGCATGCCTAGGTTCCACTTGTATTTGTCAATCTTCCCTCTATCAACCATTGGTTCGTAAAGGCAGATCAAAGGAATCTGAAACTGCTGTGTGATGGTTTGGAGTCTCTCAAGACTCGAGATCTTTCAAAGCCTATTCAACGTTAGAGTGGGTTAAAGTCCTAGATTGATTGGGGAATGGACGGTTGGTCTGCTTGTATGGATTTGGGCAATCCTTTCCTCACGATCTAGCTTTTGGGGTTGAGTTAGGCCCAGGGGACATATCTTTACATGGTATCAGGGCTAGGTCCATCTCTGGTTGGGCTCCCGGTCAACGCCCCAGTTGGGCCTGGGTGTTAGAGTGGGTTAAAAGTCCCACATTGGTTGTGGAATTGATCGGTGGTCTGCTTATATGGATTTGGGCAATCCTCCCCTCACGAGCTAGCTTTTGGGTTTGAGTTAGACTTAGGTGCCATATCATTACAATTTACACTTATTCCATGATATAGTATCAATCATTGGGAACATTTAGGGTTAGGATCTTATTGATCATCCTTGTTCTTTTCTGTCATCTTGTACTCTTGAATAAAATCCCCACCCTGTGAAAAATTGTTGTAAAAGGTGATGTTCTGCTGAACTGGTGTTCCTTCGGTGTAAATCCATTTCCTGATATTCAGAGTTGATGTTAACTCTAGTGAGCTTATCATCTGATTGGGCGATCCTTTCTTCTCCTGTGTTGATCGTTTCAACTTTAGTTTCCATAAATTTCACATCATGAAAGACTTCATCATATTCATCTCTTGTATCCGCTGGTGCTGGATTCAGATCAGGTTGTTTGTGGATGGAATTGTAATCAATATCCTGGTTGCTGTTCTTGTCATGAACACCGGGATAGGTCTTCTCCTCTATTATCCTTATTGACAATTGTCTTCCCTTGTCCTTCCTAGTGGAGGTTTAATGGAATCATGTGTTATTTTACCTGTTTTCATTCTCTTGACTGCTCTATTCGGGTCTTCTCTATTTGGATCTCTTGTCTCAACTCTCCCCTTGAATTGTAATATCATTAGGAATAACAACTGTCTTGTCAGATTTTTTCCTCTTGTTTTGCAAACCTTTGATGTTTTTTGGATTTTTGATAACTAAGCTGACTATTTCTCCCTGTAGATCAGTATCAATGTTTCTGGAGTGTTCTACTTCTGGTACTTGTAATTCTTAGCCCAGCCTGTTGCTTCTTGATTCTTCCACTTTCCTTCTTTTTTTGTGCTTTGTCCCATCTTGTGCTTCTTTCCTGTTGTTGAGTATCCTGAGTATTGTTCTATTCTTCCATATTCTCATTGGAGCAGCCTGCAGTGTCCATTACCTCATTTTCAGTCCCTTCCTGTAGTATATTGAAAGAATTGTTAATCTCTGTTCTGATATCCACTTCACCGGAGTTGGCTTGTCAGAACATGTTTCTATTCCCATGTTGTTGTCTCTGTCCTGATTTTTCCCTCTTTGTGCACCATTGTGACCTATTCCTTTTCCTCTTCTTATATTCACATTTTGCCAATTGTCATTCCTGTTGGCTTCAGATTCCGGCAATAGTTTATATTTGTTTTTCAGATTTTAGGCTACAAAAGTCTGATTTCACATAATGTCTTTCGGAGTTGATATTTTGGCACCAAAAATACGGGAATAGGAAGTTCAAACTATTTAGCTTGGGTTTTCTCAAATCAGTTGTGGTGCAAGGGTCAAAGTGTCCAAAATCACTTAATGAGCAATGCTAGTCAAAAGTGTTTTTGTTGGAGGGAACCTAGTATCGTAGAGGAGTAAGAAACAAAGTGTTGTATCGCGATCCAGTGCAAAATCTGAGTATAGAGCTATGTCACAGTCTACATGTGAGATTATGTGGATACATCATTTGTTATCTGAAATTGGATTGAAGCATCATACACCAACGAAACTCTGGTGTGATAATCAGGCTGATCTTCATATAGCCTCAGATCCGGTGTATCATGAAAGAACAAAACACATTGAGGTTGATTGTCATTTTATTAGTGAGAAGATTCAGGAAAATTTGATTTCCATTGTCTACACGAAGACGAGAGAACAATTAGCTGATTTGTTCACCAAGGCATTAATGGAACTCGAGTTACTTATCTTTTTGACAAGCTGGGTATGATCATATCTATGCTCCAGCTTAAGGGGGAGTGTTACAGTATATGGTAACAAATCTCAGGGGTGATAGTAGAATATTTGAGACTAATAAGAGTGATTGTGAAATATTTTCTTTTGTTTGTTTTGATTGATTTCCTTTTATAGGATTCTTTGTAATTCCATAAGTACCTTGTATATTCATGAATATAATGATAACTTCTTCCATTAGATTACATATGCTATTCCCTTGTTTTCTTTATCACTGGGGCTATGATGTATATCACGCAAGTAAACAATCATCTCCACCAGTAGCATATGGTGCTTAACCTAATAAACCATCCAATAATGCTCATATTGCTCAGACAAAATATGATGAGTTCCTTCGGTATCGTGCAAATAAACAAACGTCTCCTTAAATTGTAGGAATATATTCAACAATTTGGCATGACTCGTAGTGGAGCTGATCACTCTGTGTTTTATCTGCATTCTGCACCAAATCGGTGTATCTATTTGGTTGTGTACGTTGATGATATTGTTATCACTAGTAATGATCAAGATGGTATGGCCAAATTGAAGCAGCATCTCTTTAAGCACTTCTAGACTAAAGACCTTAGCAGATTGAAGTATTTTCTAGGTATTGAGGTTGCTCAGTCTAGATCAGATATTGTTATTTCTCAACGCAAGTATGCCTTAGACATTCTTGAGGAGACGGGAATGATGGGATGTAGACCTATTGACACTCCTATGGATGTAGACCTATTGACCTCATATTGTTAGAATAGAAATATGTATATATATTCCTACTTAGAATAGGAAGAAGAATAGGAATAGGAATCCTAGTTAGAAGAGGATTTCAATGTATTGTCTATAAATAGGGTCTCAATGTAACAATTTAGATACACAATTCAATAATATTTTTCCCATATATTTCTCACATGGTATCAGAGCATTGGTGAGAAATTTCAAGTCACCGTGTCAAATTTCGGCGACGACGGTTGGGACTGATTTATGTCATCTTTCGTTCTAAAGGTGTTGTGCGAAAGACAACACTATCACGAGGCTCGGGAAGCTCAGGCAACCGAACCCCAATCAGATCCACCGGAAAACAACCCCCCACGCTCCCCCACGCACCGTTCGGAGGTGGAAATTTTTCGGCGAGATCTGTTCACGCGCTGGCGCGTGAGTGCTGCTCCGGTCATCTTTTTTCGAGCTGTTTTCTTCTGTTGGGGTCGCCCAGTATTTCCGACCAGAACCCATTCAGTTTTCTCTAGATCCGATCACCGGAATTAGGGTTCCGGTGATTTTCAGGCAGTTTTCGGCGAAATCAGAATTTCCAGGCCACTGTGGGTAGATTCCGGCAGTTTCCAACGAGTTTCTTACTGTATTCAAGTCAAATTTCAAAAAATGTCTTTCGGGTGTGATGTTTTTGGCTCCAAAAATACGGGGATTGGAAGTTCAAGCCTTACCATCACTTCAGAACCACTAATGGGAAGTTCAAACTATTTAGCTTGGACTTCTTCAGTTGAGTTGTGGTGCAAGTGTCAAGGTGTTCAAGATCACTTAACAAACAATGCTTGCGTTGTAGATGAAAAGACAGTCTAGTGACGAAGGTGCAAAAGCCAAAGCACAATGGGAGAAAGTGGATGCCCAATTATGTAGTCTCCTTTGGCGCTCTATTGACTCTAAGTTGATGCCCTTGTTTCGCCTATTCCAGACATGTTATTTAGTTTGGGAAAAGGCACGTGCTTTATACACTAATGACATATCTCGATTCTATGATGTGATATCTCGGATGACCAACTTAAAGAAACAAGAATCCGATATGTCTACTTACTTGGGACAAGTACAGGCAGTCATGGAGGAATTTGAAACGTTGATGCCTATCACTACAAACGTGGAAAAGCAACAAGAGTAAAGGCAGACATTATTTCTAGTTCTTACACTTGCTGGACTTCCTACTGACCATAACTCTGTGCGTGACCAGATTCTAGCCAGTCCTACAGTTCCCTCAATTGATGAATTATTCTCTCGTCTGCTTCGTCTTGCTGCACCTCCCTGTCACAAAGAAGTTTCATCACCCATTGTTGACTCCTCTATTTTCGCATCTCAAACCACAGAAAAGCGTACATACCAGTCTATGGAGAATCGGCGAGGGGGAGGGCGTTTTGGGAAACCTCTATCCAAGTGTAGTCATTATCATAAACCTGGACACACTCGTGATATATGTTATATTTTACGTGGTCCACCACCCAGTTATGATCCTATTGTTCTTAAGGAATATAATGAGTTCCTTCGAAATCACGCAAGTAAACAGACATCTCCACCGGTAACATATGGTGCTCAACCTAATCAACCATCCAATAATGCTCATATTGCTCAGACAGAATATGATGAGTTCCTTCGGTATTGTGCAAATAAACAAACGTCTCCTTAAATTGTAGGAATATATTCAACAATTTGGCATGACTCGTAGTGGAGCTGATCACTCTGTGTTTTATCGGCATTCTGCACCAAATCGGTGTATCTATTTGGTTGTGTACGTTGATTGATATTGTTATCACTGGTAATGATCAAGATGGTATCGCCAAATTGAAGCAACATCTCTTTAAGCACTTCCAGACTAAGACCTTGGCAGATTGAAGTATTTTCTAGGTATTGAGGTTGCTCAGTCTAGATCAGATATTGTTATTTCTCAACGCAAGTATGCCTTAGACATTCTTGAGGAGACGGGAATGATGGGATGTAGACCTATTGACACTCCTATGGATGTAGACCTATTGACCTCATATTGTTATAATAGAAATATGTATATATATTCCTACTTAGAATAGGAAGAAGAATATGAATAGGAATCCTAGTTAGAAGAGGATTTCAATGTATTGTCTATAAATAGGGTCTCAATGTAACAATTTAGATACACAATTCAATAATATTTTTCCCATATAATTCTCACATGGTATCAGAGCATTGGTGAGAAATTTCAAGTCACCGTGTCAAATTTCGGCGACGACGGTTGGGACTAATTTGTGTCATCTTTCGTTTTGAAGGTGTTGTGCGAAAGACAACACCATCACGAGGCTCGGGAAGCTCAGGCGACCGAACCCCAATTAGATCCACCGGAACACAACCCCCCACGCTCGCCCACACGCCGTTCGGAGGTGGAAATTTTTCGGTGGATCTGATTGTGGTTCGGTCGCCTGAGCTTCCCGAGCCTCGTGATGGTGTTATATTCTAAGTAGGAATATATATACATATTTGCATGGTGATCTTGAGGAGGAAGTCTATATGGTGCAACCACCTGGTTTTGTTGCTCAGGGGGAGTCAGTAGCCTTGTATGTCGATTGCGTAGGTCACTTTATGGTTTGAAGCAATCTCCTAGAACTTGGTTTGGGAAGTTCAGCACAGTTATTCAACAATTTGGCATGACTCGTAGTGGAGCTGATCACTTTGTGTTTTATCGGCATTCTGCACCAAATCGGTGTATCTATTTGGTTGTGTACGTTGATGATATTGTTATCACTGGTAATGATCAAGATGGTATCGCCAAATTGAAGCAACATCTCTTTAAGCACTTCCAGATTAAAGACCTTTGCAGATTGAAGTATTTTCTAGGTATTGAGGTTGCTCAGTCTAGATGAGGTATTGTTATTTCTCAACGCAAGTATACCTTAGACATTCTTGAGGAGACGGGAATGATGGGATGTAGACCTATTGACACTCCTATGGATCCGAATGTTAAACGCCTTCCAGGACAGGGGGAGCCACTTAGTAATCCTGAAAGGTATAGACGACTCGTTGGAAAATTGAATTATCTCACAGTAACTAGACCTGCCATTTCTTTTCCTGTGAGTGTTGTAAGTCAGTTTATGACTTCCCCTTGTAATAGTCATTGGGAAGCAGTTGTTCGTATCCTGCGATATATAAAGTCAGCTCCTGGTAAAGGACTACTATATGAGGATAAAGGCCATGAGTTTATCACTGGATATACAGACGCTGATTGGGCAGAATCACCCTCTGATAGACGTTTGACATCCGAATATTGTGTTTTAGTAGGAGGTAATTTGGTGTCGTGGAAGAGTAAGAAACAAAGTGTGGTTGCTCGATCTAGTGCAGAATCAGAATATCGAGCAATGGCGGTAGCAACTTGTGAGCTAGTTTGGATCAAACAGTTGCTGGGAGAACTAAAATTTGGCGAAATTGATTAGATGGAACTTGTGTGTGACAATCAAGCAGCTCTTCATATCGCATCAAATCCAGTGTTTCATGAAAGGACTAAGCACATTGAGATTGACTGTCACTTTGTCAGAGAAAAGATACTTTCCGGAGATATTGTTACGAAATTTGTGAAGTCAAATGATCAGCTTGCAGATATCTTCACCAAGTCCCTCACAAGTCCTCGTATTAATTACATCTGTAACAAGCTAGGTACATATGATTTGTATGCACCAGCTTGAGGGGGAGTGTTAGAATAGAAATATGTATATATATATTCCTACTTAGAATAGGAAGAAGAATAGGAATAGGAATCCTAGTTAGAAGAGGATTTCAATGTATTGTCTATAAATAGGGTCTCAATGTAACAATTTAGATACACAATTCAATAATATTTTTCCCATATATTTCTCACAATGACATGCATGGCCATTTTGGTTTTGGGGATAGAAATGACGGAGGAGTGTCTCTTTTGGATTGTGCAAAAGCTTTTGCGTTGGTGATATCTAACTCAAGGTTTTAGGAGGAGTACCTGATCACGTTTCATAGTATGGTGACCAGGACTCAAATCAATTAGCTACTCCTTTGGAAGAGAGATAGAACATGTAAGGACTCTTAAGTTATCCCAAGTGAATATCTTACTACCCAACATATGCTCTAGGTAATGGATCTAGAGATTAAAAGAAAGAAGAGGAGGACGAGGGCTTTATATGACCCTTGAGTGTTGAATGATTGATTTCCTAGCTTAATTTTAGGAGTAATTGATATTGTATTGATTATGTAATATTTTTCTTTCCTTATTTTGCAGTAGGACTTATTGTATAAGAACGCATTCTCATGGGATGTAAATTCATACAGAAATACAAGAAGCCTTTTCTTCTTTCTAGAAATCTTGAAAAAAAAGAAGAAAGATTCCATGGTGTTGTCTAAATGGAATAACTTTGTAAATAAAATAGATACACGTCTTTTGATTGTCATAGTACATTCTCTAAGCTTCTGTTCACCAATTTATGTATCTTCTTCTTAATAGGAGGTTGGTGGAGTGGTGTCCCTGCTCTTTCTTACAACAAGTATGCTATAAACACCCCCCTTCTATATAATATTAAATTTGTTTTTTCATGTAAGTTCCATATTTTGATTATAAAGAATAAACTAATATTCTCTACAGAGAATTCTTATCAAATGTTGAGGAGAAATTTGCCAAAGATACAGATCTTATTGTGGCATGCCAGAAGGGATTGAGGTGAATTTATCTGTCTATTAACCACATTTCAGATTCTCTTCTATGAAGTAAAATTCTGCACTCCAGTGGCTGAACACAAGTACTTACGGAACAATCCAGGTGAAGTTTATCAGTACACTTCTGTTGCAAAGGAAGTGGAGGTTCATGTATCTCCATGGTGATCCAAGTTTAGCACTCAAACTAAATTATGAGAATCTGGATTTTTCAATGTCGTCGAACATGAATATTCATTGAGCAACTATCTGATACATCATAAATTGGATCCTTTGTAGCATGACACTTGACTGTTTTCTTGCATATTAGTAGGAACAGTAGAAGAGTTTTAATATATCTAGCTGGCAGAGTATCACTTTCTGAGGTAGTAAGCATCTCATGCTCTTAGTAGGTCCATGGTCAGAGAGATTAGGCACTTAAAGGTTCTTATGCTCATAATGAACCTGCTGATTTGCTTTCCTCACTGCTTATGCGGAGCCCTTTTCATCAGGCAGGTCCATTGCGGCTTGTGAGGTGCTATACAATGCTGGTTACAACAACATTTTCTGGGTTCAAGGTGGTTTAGAAGCTGCTGAAGAGGAGGTTCGAACACATCTTATTTTGTCTGTTTTGCTTAATAAATATGCATCTTTCCAGAATACAAGTTCATAGAGGCATTTAAATACAATTTGGATTAGGATCTTGAAAGAGAAGGTCCTCAACCATTCAAGTTCGCAGGAATTGGTGGGCTTTCAGAGTTCCTTGGGTAAGTACTTTGTGCTTCTGCCTGTACATCCAGACACCTTTAGATTTGATAATAACTTTCTACTTCTGGTGTCTACAATTTTGATGTAAAACAGCTGTTATTTCATCTTTACAGTTTTTAAAACATATGCACCTTATGAAGGTAGACCAGTTTAATCACAAATGATGTTATCAATTATGCACTCTAACTGTATATCACAAGTTCTAGTGGCGTAAGCATAATTTTTCACAAGTGATGTTGACATTTAAGGAAGTGAACAAATGAATAAATTGCCTATTTATATCATATTGCACCCAAGGGTGTGAAAATTAACTTATATATGAGGTAATTTTTTAAAATGCTCCCAGGCACGGTAACCAAGGACCTTCTCTCTCCTACTTCCTAGGATAGCAGAAGGCTCACGCCGGTGCCGACCACCATCAACAGACCTTTCTTTCTCAGCCAATCAATACTCACCCACTGTGAGAATTGCTTCAACCTTTTTCTTTTTTCGTTCGCTCCACAGATCAGGTATTTACTATGGCAGACAACAGAATCTATTTTAATGCAGGCTTCAAGTCCTTTGACATCACAAGATGGAGTTCCGGCAACACAACCTGGTTTGACTGGGTAGAGAGAAGTAGAAAAAGAATGCGAAGGATAACGCTGAGCAGAAAGATAATGGAATGGGTTTGTCCTCAAGGAAGCCTCCAACGACAATAAGAATCTGGTTAGAAGATGGAGGACAAAAGAACAAATTTTAGAATTTTACGGCACCAGAAAGTACAACGTACATGGAAGGTACATGAGTTTTTTGGCCCTCATAGGAGAAACCAGAGAAGTTATTATTGTTCCTGAACTTGGCATTAATGCGGGATGGAGAGACATAGCATTCAAGATTGAAGGCTTCATTAACACCACTCCACAATGTTTAGTCAAACAACATTCAAAGCCAACTATTCCGTATGCTAGGGTAGTTGAGAGAAGTAAATGGCAACAACAAAGTCACAAAGAAGCCAATGCTAGCATAGAGGGCCCACTGGGGAGAAGTATTACGGGATTATTCGGGGGATCTGAGAGACCCACTCTGACTGCTGTAAGAAAATGGGCTTCCTCGACCTGGAAGAAAGCATTTGGAGTTGACATCTATGAGATGGCAGGGCACATCTTCCTTTTTGAATTCCCAAATAAGCACATGGCAGAACAAATTCTGCAAGGAGAATGGAATTGGAAGAACATGAAGGTGAAACTAGAATGGTGGAACCCACTAGTTGGCTGCGTACCATCACAACAAAGACAGGAAAAGATCTGGATCAGAGCAATAGGAGTGACCCTGCACTTGTGGTCCAAAGAAGTCTTTAAAAAGAAATAGGTGATAAATGTGGAGGATGGTACAGATCGGAGGAGGAAACAAAACTGAGAAACCATCTCAGATGGACCCGTATTGAGGTTAAGAATGAATGGCAAAAAATACCTAGAGAGGTTGCCATAACCAAACAAGGATACACCTTCAGGATGCCGATCTGGATCGAGAAAGTTACGACCTTTGAGAAGGCATCGGGAAAAAACATGGAAAATCAGATTTCCATGGCGGAGACTGCGAAAACTGGGGAAACCCTAGATGAGGGCTTTGCACGGAGGTCTGTTGCATGTCCAATGAAGAGGATGGGTAATACCCAGAGGTTAAAAGCATCTTTTGAAGTCATCAAGCAAGTAGCCAGATTGACAGCTGTTGATTGGATGGCACACATGGGAGTGGAAATAATTCAAATTTAAATCCACGTGAGGAACACGTGAGGTCTCCAAGGCAGGAGATGAATAATTTGAGTCATGGGCCGGCCCAAAACCATAAACCACTCCAACAAAAATTAAATACCTCACAAGCCCAACCCAATCTAGAACAACAAGTTGAGGAATTCTGGGAGGAGACCACGACAATTAGAACATCTTCTCCAGAGAATTTCAACGCAACAGAAAATCTTGAATTGACTGCCACAACTTCAGATGCAGGATATGTGGGAGAAAATTCAAAGATGAAAGAGACAAGTCTAGAAGAGACAGAGGGGACTGTAATTGTGAGGGAGATAAGGGGGAATGAGAATTGCAAGGAACAATCCATTGTGATGGGCAATTCGTGTCTGGAAGTCAGAAACTGGGAAGTGGACGAGGTGATACCCTTAGCTACAGAAGCAGCTAAACAGGTCGTTGACAAGGAAAAGTCCACAACAGTCTGAGTTCGAAAAAGTTTAATCAAGCTCGGCAAAATGTTTGGAGCTGACTTTAATGGCCATGAAGAGGAGGCCTTGGAACTTCTTATGCAAATTGATGCGTGCAGGCAGATTAGAAGGATGGAGATATCATCAGAAATCAGAAGAACTACATTCAAAGGCACCAATGAATTGAAGAATTTAATTACTTTTGATGTTAAGTTCAAAGCTAGTGAGGCCAGGAGCACGGGGAAAGGAGGTGCACAACCTGTACCATGAAGTTCAACCTAGTGTCTTGGAATGTTAGGGGAATAAATGATGGGGGAAAAGAAGAGTGGTGAAGAGTTGCATAGAATTTTGGAAGGCTGACATAGTGTGCCTTCAGGAAACTAAACTACAAGGAGACATTCAAGAGATAGTGAAGCAAATATGGGGAGGGAGATGGGTTAGATATGCTTGCCTAGAAGCAAGTGGTACCAGGGGAGGGATTGTTATGGGATAGTAGAGTTTGGAAGGGAGAGGTGCAACAAATATGCTAATTTGCAGTTTTGAAGGCCTGCTCCAAAACTTTAACTATCACATTACAGGGGTGTAGGCACCAAATTGCAACGTGGAAAGAAGAGAGGTTTGGGATGAATTAGGTGCGGTCAGAGGTTTAATGGAGGGCCCTTGGGTAGTATGTGGGGACTTCAATGTATGCAGGTTCCCCACAGAGAAGAGAAACTGCCAAAGGAGATCTACTGCCATGGTAGAATTCTCAGACTTCATAGAAGACCTGGAGCTTATTGACTTGCCACTTGAAGGAGGAACACATACTTGGTTCAGGGGAGATACAAACAATGTTGCATCAAGGATAGATAGAATCCTATTCACAACCGAGTGGAGTGAACAATTTAGTAAAATGAAGCAGGTTGCTCTACAAAGACTGACATCAGACCATGTGCCTATAGCTTTACACTGTGGACCATGGGGATCTGAACAAATCTTATTTCAAGTTTGAAAATTGGTGGTTGAACACAGAGAGGGATTTATAGATAAAATCAGGTCTTGGTGGAATTCTTTTGCATATACAAGAAACCAAACTACATTTTAGCATGCAAATTGAAACCACTGAAGGGTAAGCTCAAGGAATGGAGTAAGGAAGAAAAAGGAAATTTGCTTTTGGAAAGATCCATCCTGTTAAACAAGATGGCAACTTTGGACTCTATTATTGATAATAGAGCACTAACAGAGGAAGAGGCTGCATTAAAGGCAACTACTTTCCTGGAGTATGAAAAACTACTCAAGAACGAAGAGACTGCATGGAGGCATAGATCCAGAATTTTGTGGCTAAAAGAAGGTGACAACAACACTAAGTTCTGTCACAATTCAGCCAATGCACATAAAAGGAGTAACTGTATTGACCAACTGGAAGTACAAGGTGAGACAGTGAAGGAGCCAGACAAAGTGAAAAAGGAGATCATACAGTTCTATAAGAAGCTGTACACAGAAGCAGAGAGATGGAGACCTGCAGGAAACATGATAAATTGTCCTACAATCTCAGTAGCAGAAAAAAGTACAATTACAAGCCAAATTTGAGGAGGAGGTGCTCAACTGCCTGAAAAAGTGTGCTATAGATAAGGCCCCCTGGACCTGATGGATACACAATGGGCTTCTTCATCAAATGCTGGGAAGTTCTAAAACATGACATTATGAATGCCTTCCACAACTTCTATGAACATGAGATATTTGAAAGAGCTTCAATGCAACATATATTGCACTGATTCCCAAAAAGAAAGGGGCAAAGAAGTTAAAAAGATTTTAGACTAATTAGCTTGATAGGCAGTTTCTACAAGCTTTTGTCTAAAGTGTTGACTGAAAGGATCAAAAGGGTGATGGATAAATTGGTAAACTCCCAGCAAATGGCTTCATTCAGGGCAGACAAATTATGGATGCAGTATTGATAGCTAATGAAGCAGTAGACTCAAGAATATCACAAAAGATGCCTGGAATCCTATGCAAATTGGATATAGGGAAAGCTTATGATCATGTGAATTGGGGGTTTCTAATCAACACTCTCAAGAGAATGGGATTTGGGGAGAAGTGGATCAAGTGGATCAGATTCTGAATCTCAACTGTAAAATTCACAGTAGTGATAAATGGATCACCCGAAGGTTTTTTTGCAGCTCAAAGGGGAATAAGACAAGAGGACCCTCTGTCCCCTTTTCTGTTCATCCTAGCCATGGAGGGTCTCAATAATATGATTAAGAAACCCTCAGGGGTTGGCCTGCTGGCAATTGACTTGAGCCTTGGGGTTTGCTCCCTTTCAAGGTCTCAAGTTCGAAACCCACTGGGTGCAAACAATTTCTGAGGGCCATCGGACTGGGTAAAACCTGAATTAACCGTGGTGCACTTGCGGGAAACTCCTTGCCGAGGGCCTGTGCACCCCCGGGATTAGTCGGGGCTCAAAGAGACTCGGACACCCGGTGCAAATAAAAAATAAAATAAAAAATAATATGATTAAGACAACAAAGGTCAATGGCTGGTTATCTGATTTTGAAGTGGCTAAAAACAATGGAGAAAGTCTAGAGGTGACACATCTACAATACGCAGATGATATCATAGGGAATTCTTGAGGTTCATAAGCAATCAATAAGAATAAGACGGAAGATTTTTATCATAAGCTTAAATTAATTTTGGAAGGAAAGCTCATAGATATGGAGAACATAGTGTGGGAAAGAACAACGATATTTCCACACGTAGAGGATAATCTTAAATACCTTACCGCTCCAAAATACTTGGGGAAGAATTCTAATTTTGAAGAACTCCAAGAAATCTGTTCTTGAACCTTGAGATAGGTTTTTTTGAAAACCTTAGAATTGTAGGTTAGAATCAATGTTATTAGAGGTGAACTTATGGCCTGAAGTGAGGCTCAAAATGCATTGAGCGCTTCGCCTCGCTCTATGTGCGCTTTAGTGTTGTCATCAAGGCTCTAAGACATACTTTTCCTTCTGAATGAACACTTCATTTTTTTTTTTGATAAGGTAACTTTATATTCACATCAAAACTCATCAGCAAAGCCTGATGAGGTGGGATTTACAGCCCCAAAAACAGCCAAAACTTTACAATTGAGCTTTAAAATCCACTAAGCTATCTACCTCCCCCACCAAATCCTGTTTACACCAAAAATACAGCAGGCTCAAGCTATTCATCTTGATTTTCTGAGTGCTGTTAAGTTTCCCATCATGTGATCTTTCATTTCTTTCCTTCCATAATGTCCACCAGACGCAGGCTGGGATGCATTTCCACCAGTCCTCTTTGGATCTTCTTCTTCTGCCCACTCCTTCCCACTGTCTCAACAAACCTAAAGTAGTCTTGGGCATTACCCAGTTAATTCCAAGTATACATAAGAACATGT